AGGAGGGCTCGAGGCCACCAGTGTCCCACACATTACAACATAATATATGTGAGCACAAGGTTAAACAGCCATGCCCATGCGTAGGGTGCATGAAAAACTGGCAAGTGGAAGATTAATTGTCTGCACGAATGCTATTATTCCAACCAGCAGCAAGAATAAGAAAGAATGTGGCAGTGATGTTGACAAAGGCAGTTATTATACTTCTACGTTTCTTTTCTCAAATTCAGGCTGTAAAACAATTCTGGAGTGACTGTTCATCCCCTTCTCCATGCAGCGCTCAGGCTGTTTCTCCTCACATGCATTTGCTCTTTGTTTCCTCAGCCAGCAGCAGTGGCAAGTGATAAACTTGATGTGCCAGATCCCCAGAAGTCCTGGGTGTCCCACAGCCATGACACCACCCCACAGGGACCTTCAGGTGAGTGCTAGCAGTTCCTTGCACCATTTTAAGGTCTCTCTGCACAGCCAGAGTAGTGTAAAATGGCTTAAATGTACAGGAGAATCAGGCCCCAAATGTATTCCTAGGCTGCATGAGCTATTTAAATATACAGAAAACAGCAAGGTATTACAGTGCTACACAGTCTCATGCCTTCGAAAGCGCTTACAGCAAGCAAAGCAAGAAAAGAGTGACAGACAACTCCCCTCTGCTTTTGCCCCAGTGACAAAGGGCTTGTGCAGTTCCTCACGGGGAGTGAGGACTTGGCACAGCCGAAGAAGAACCAGAACTACTCCACCACTCGCACCCCCCGGACTCTACACCATCCCCCCCGACTTCTGCCCATCCACATCTGCACATCCGTATTTATTTACCGGCATTTTTCCAGGTATCTACCTGCCACTGTAGCCACTGGCAGAACCTAAGGAGAATGTTCTGCCAGCTCTGTTTCTACAACCCTTTTTTATATACAGCTCACTGACACTTTAAAATTTCTCACACTACAACACGGAGCGCCCCGTTGTTCAGATGTGTATTTATTTTGGGGTCACGCCTTTTAAGTGCCTGAGCAGAAAAAAAAATGGCTCAGAGCATGATCACATCACTGTGAAGTGTATACTTGCATTTTCAATCTAGTAATTCACACTTGCAAACAATAAAATTACCTTCTGTCACAAAGGAAAGCTGTTATCATTACTGCTTCCCTCTCATGCGTACAGGCCTGGTCCTTTCTTTTTAATTCACCTGCAGTTTAAAGCAGATGTCGAATTCTTCTTGCCTTGTCCGGTATGGCTATGTGCTGCTAGAGAGGTATTATGGCCCATGGCAAGTGCAGGGGCATTTTAAACAGAGATGTGAAGTGACCCCTAGAGAGTGGCTATGATTTTCAAAAAAATGACTGATAGCAGCAGATATCTTCATTTTGGGAGAATTGAACCAAATCACCTATAGAGGCCTAATTTTCAGACACTGGCCACTCCAGTATTTTGAATATGTTTTATGTCTCGATGAAAACATAAATGGTGTAAACTATGGAGGGAAGGAAGGAAGCTAAGCTAAATAATGCCCAGGTTTTCAGTGTGCAAAGCAAGAATGCCCACCCAAATGCGGAAGGGCTGCTGCAAAGAGGAAATAAGAATCTGTTCTTAAAGCCCACATTGAACAGGACAAGAAATAATGGGCCTAAATTACAGCAGAGGGAAATTTAAGCTCAACATGAGGACTAAACAATGCCCAAGCACATCCCGTGGGGAGGAAGCTGCAGAGGAACTGCTTAAGGAAGCCTGTAATGCCTGCAATAGGCAAAGGTAAGGCATATTCTTTGTGTTACAGGTAACCAGCAGGCATTTTGGCAAACAGTGAGGAAAGCTTAGGCTTCTATTTGTGTATCCGTGTCTTGTCTAAAACAAAAGCTGTGTGTTAAAAAAATGAAATACTACTATTACTATTACTAAACCACTGTTTTTTACAGGCACTTCTCAACAGCAGACCTCCGTGGCTCAGAAGGGGAATCAGAGTCACAGAAACACAGAGCGACCTGCTCAAGGTCACCCATGAAGCCACCGGCAGAACTAGGAACAGAACCTGCCCAGCCTGATTCCAGCATTGCCCCATCCATGTCCAGGGTCTGCTTGAAAGCCTGATCTTGGCAGAATGGGGTACAGCTGCCCACATGATATGACCCTCAGGCACACTTGCTGGTGTGCGAACACATCAACCGACAGTCTCACTCTAGACGGCTAAAGCAACATCAGGAGATAAGTGACTAAAATGCCATTAACAGAAAATATGGCGGGCCTCCAAAGCGACTAATAAACTTAATGTAAGAAATAATTTCCTGCAGTCAGACAATAAGCAGCAGCAGCTGCTGCCACACTGCTGCCACCAAAGAATCAGTAAAACATGCAAGCGATGTAATAACCCGCTCAATGTGGAGAAAACCCCCAGGAGACATTTTCAGTAAACCAAATGTCAAACACTCTGTCCCTACCACAATGATAACTATGTCAACACAGCATAACATAGATAGCATCCTATTAGCTGTAATAGCTTCTGAGGGTCAGCCAGACCCCGTGCAGTTTGTGGTGGACTCAAGGTGCCTCGCGAGAAGCGAGGGGAATAAGGGTTATGAAGATGGCAGCCAGATGAAGTGTAGCTGAGGCCCAAGAAGGCTATTGTGCAGAACGACTCCACTGTCCCAGCTGTTTCGATGCACTTCACGTTTGCATTGACTTGCTGGAGGATTTTGGCTTACAGAATGCATTTTCTATGCAACTTTTAGAACACAAGTGAGTGCGGTGGACTGCAAAGGAGGAGGCAATGTCACCTCTGGGGACAGCAAACACAGTGTAACTCCTAGAGTATTAGGATCAGTCTTACCATTTTTTTTTCACCTTCCTCCCCCTCACACATACCCCATGCAAGCTGAGCTTGCCTTCATTCTGGGGACAGAGCAGGAGTCTGTATGCCTGCCTAACCTGTAGGACAGGGCAATATGTACTATACGCAAAAAATGACAGACATCCTAACCTCATTCAAAATTCTCGAAGCATAAGTAGTAGCCAGTTGTATTGGGTCTGGCTGAGGTGGGAGTTAATTTTCCCCATAGCAGCCCTCATAGTGCTGTGCTTTGTATTGGTAGCTACAAAGGTGTTGATAACGCACCAGTGTTTTGGCTACTGCTGAGCAGTGCTCCACAGCATCGAGGCTGTCTCTCCAACATTCCCCCCTCACCACTAGGCTGGGGGTGGGCGAGATCTTGGGGGGGGACATAGCCAGGACAACTGACCCAAACTGACCAAAGGGATATTCCATACTGTATGATGTATGACATCTGCTCAGCAGTAAAAGCTAAGAGAAAGGAGGAGGCAGAGAGGTGGGACATTCATTATTACGATGTTTGTCTTCCGGAGCAACCGCTATGCAGACTGAAGCCCTACTTCCCAGGAAGTGGCTGGACATCACCTACTGATGGGAAGTAGAGAATAAATCTTTTGTTTTCCTTTGCTTCCATGTGCGGCCTTTACTTTTGCTTTATTAAACTGCCTGCGGCTTGGTGCCCCTGGCATCCAGCCAAGGTCAACCCACCATACCAGTCAACTGGACATAATATTAAGATAGAGAAATACTAGAGTCATGCGTATTATTAATGCATGTGGTACGAACCGGTTTTTCGCAAACACACATATGCCACCTGCTAATTACCCTCAGACAAAAAGATGTGGGAAACGAGCAGCACATCCCAGAACCATTTCTACAGGATGGCACGACTCTACTAGGAATGTGTGTCTATCCTGCCCCTATTTGGGGCTATCCAAAACAGCAAAGACACCAATTCCATATAGATAAGGAGGTCCTTGCCAGCTGGGAAGCACAGATAGCTGCTAGCTCAGGCCCTGCATATCAGAAACAAAAATGCACTTGATTTATTTGCCAAATAAACAAAAGTGTGTACGTCTAATCTCACAGTGCCCGAGCCACTCCTGTGATCCAGGTAAGCAGGGGGCAGAACTGACCGCCTTATATGGCTGGAGGCATAGCTTTCATCCTACACATCCAACACATTTATTTTTGTGGCGAGAGGATCTAGACAATATTCAGAAATCAGAGCAGTTTTCTCACTTGAAAAAAAGAAAAAAAGAGCAAAGAAACTATGAGAAAGATGCATGATGAAACAGCACAGGTCTTATTATGGACACAAAACATCTTAGTGCCAGCTTACTGGAGAGCTCTCATCCAGAAGTCTGTGCAATACTCCAAAAGGCAACAGTCTAAGAACAGCGGGTATTTGGTTTCCATTTTGCAAACAGACAAATGACATCTCTCTCTCACAAAGCACAAACTTGTTCCACAACCCAGGGGAAAGATGTTTCTCAAGCCGCCTACATCCATTCACTGGAAAAATTATTCCACCTCCTTCCCACAAAAAGCTCAGCATTTTGAGATTTAGTTTAAAAATGTAATACTTAAGAAATATGGGTGTATATGTAGAAAAACTATCTAGTAACTATGCACAAAACCTCATTGATATTTTCTTTACTAATTAGCACTTTAAAACATTATAGTCTTCCAATAAAATTCTTCACTCTTTAAATAGACATAAACACAAGGAACATTTAGGCCTTGAGTGAATCTTGACTGAACTCTTCCAGTTATTATCTGATTTAAGAAAATGCATACTAACCAGAATTTAAAACAGTTGCCATTTCTGTTAAAAGACAAGTTCTTTGTAAGTTTCGATTATACGTGAAGACACCAGATAACTTAGTTGTCTATTTCCAAAATAATTCCATAAAACTAGAAGATTTCAAAATTGGAGGAGTTCTAAAGGAGCAATCAAAATGTAGGTACTGAGATTTATGAAAATTTCTTGTTTGGTGTCACAGTAATTACAGACTGAAAGCTCAGCCAGACTGCCTGGACAGATGTGACCGAGACACCCAGGCTATGATGCCAGTGACAAATGGTTAACTGATAAGAAGAAATGGAGGGGGCGACAGACTGAAGAACAGGTCAATATCATGCTGTCATGAAGCCATTTGAGAAACATAATTAATCTATTACTCACCTGGCATCATCATTCATTGTACAGTGGTCAATAGGTGCCATGAAGCTCACCAGCTTGCTATGGACATGATACCTGAATAGTGCAGGAAATAAGCAGGCAGCACATTAGTAACTATTAATGAAAAGGAAACGTTGCTGCTTCACTAGAAACATACCAGCCCCTGAAATGCAAAACACTGGTTTTCCTGGTGGCTGATATCTAATGAGTCACTAGTTGTAGCTGGCAATTCCCCCTCCCTCCCCTCCTCCTCCTCCTTTCTTATAACACGGACACAAGAATAATCAGATGATGCAATGAACTGAATAGCAAGCAAATCCTTTTTTATCACAGCTAGAAAGAGGACATACAGCATCCATTAATTGTGTGCGAGTACCTAATCAGACTCCCAGACAGACAACCCTGAAAAGTCAGACAGAGAAACAAGAACTCGTTTTCAGCCTTCCGTTCAGCTGGTGTCTTAATCACCTTCTGGAATTTGTGCCCAAAGAGCCCACTGCAGGCAGCAGAAGCGTCAGAGCATCAGACCTTCTCAAGCATCCATCTGCTATCGCTTTTTCCTTGCTCTGTGGTATCTAGAGCCCTAAAGGATATCAAAATCCCACTCTGCCAGCCATACCCATAGTTGGAAAGTCTTACCCTGAATAACTTACAAATGGAGCATGTAAAAACAGGCAAAGAAGGAGACAGGAAAAAGACCTGTGCAAAGAAGAGACGGGGCATGTCAAGGGTGATACAGTGCTGCATCTGTCTCAGCTTCTGATCCACCAAAATATTTCTGCAAGCTGTACTGCACCTCCAGATACGGGATCCCCTTCCCGCTTTCCACACTGGGCTAGGAACTTGCAGTAGCTTTTCGCGACTCATATTCAAGGACCTGACAGATGAAATTTAACAGGATACTGAAAAACTCTGAATGAAAAGGTGGCTTTAAACCCTAGTGTCTAAGGGCAGGAGATTCCAAACCAACGGCTCTTGGTGTACACTACCATGCTGCCGACCCAAGTCTGAAATGTTTTATCCAAGCTGCTGCTATTTTTAGCACTTGACAAATAGCAGGCAAAAGGATTCACAAGCATTTGCCCAGAATCACCTTTCCACTCTGTCACCTCTGCACTCCCTTTTGTTTGCTTATGCAGGAACATTCCCTCGAGGGGATTTTTAGCTCGCAAGACTATTTCAGAATGGCTCTTCAGGCACAGCACACGCTCACCCTTACACAAGGGCTTCTCTGCACAATCAAGTCTTTGTCACTCGTAATGGAAGCAACTGCCCTGGTCTAACGCTGTAATGATCGAGTCAGGGAACAGACATAGCCGTGCAGGGCTTGGACTGCAACAAACAACAGGTCAACAGGCTGGACTATGAAATAGTTCGCTCGTGAGACATTAACAACTGATGGATTCATACAGATCAAAGCTTATACAGGGACAGTCTGCGTAGTGGCAAGGGGACTTAGCAATTCTGATAAATCCTCTGACATGAGTTGTTTGTCCAGAACTAATTACTGTCACATTTTTTAAATCAGGGCTTTAAAAATCCCAGTCTAGCAGATAAAAATATTTAATTTCATTCACAGAAAGACATCCCATGCAGCACAGGACCAGAAATCACTGACATGAAAAATAGGTGTGCACACATCACTCCTCTGTATCTACCTCAAGAAAAGGCAGGTCCTAGCGAGGGATAGCAGAGTTCTAGGCACCAGGTTTCTTAAGCTCGACTGTGGAGTTTCAGGATGAGCTTGCTTCCCCTCTTAGTGGCCCAATTTCCCTGCCTATGAAGGGGACAGGTACTCACGTCAAGCGCAAGATCGACTGCTTTTGGAAGCACTTGAAGACCCTCAGACCCTACAATAAACTAGCACGTTTCATCCACGCATGCTACAACATTGAAGGTTTGCTAAAGGATTGCTAAAAAGGAAGAATTATGGAGACAGATGAAACTTAGTATGTGATAGTTTGCTTTCCAGGATCTCAAAGTCCGTCACGAAAACAAATCTAAGCGCTGCTGCCCCAGTTTTAGAGAAGGAAAAGGAAGAACAGAGGACAAGTAATCTGCTTGGGGTGACACCGAGTCTCTCAGTGGAAGAACCAACTATTTAAAAACACCCATTTAGGCTCTACTGGACTGTTCTGAAAAGATGCTGGAGCTTAACTGCATGTTAATCCTAAACACAGACAATGACACTTTTTTCTTTTATTGATATTTTCCCTGCAGGGTCAGTGCAACTTTTATTTAAAGAAGAAAAAAAAGGCACCTAAGATCTAAGAGGCAATTGACTTGGCGAGATAGCTGATCTCTCAGGAATGCTGAAGCGCACAGATTGCACACAATGAGAGACTTCCCCATTATTCCTGGAGGTTTACGAGTCTGACTCAGTTGTGTGATGTTGTCAGTAGTTTTGACTGAATCATGAATATATCCAATTATGTGTGATGCTGACAGAAAAGAATATTGATAGTCAATAATTATAGGCTTTTCAGGCCAACAAAGTAGCTCTTCCCTCTTTTAATAAATTATCTTATGACATCTATCTTAAAAATTGCTATGCCAGGCCTGACCCAGACTGACTCCACTGACTTTCTATCAGATGCCATCTAAACTCACGATTTATAGTTTACTCACAAAAGGATGGTTAATGTTGCGGATTTTTCAGGAAGCAGTGCGGCTTTTCAGCATGCCTCCCTGCCACAAACACCTCCTCTACTACAAATCATGCAGTCATGCTAAACTCAGGGAGACTAATATATCTGCTCTGCAAAGGGGAAAAAAAACTCCATCCTCTCCAGACTGCTTCCCTTTCCACCCTACCGCGTGGAAGGTTCTTCCAGTGGAAACACAACGGGAGAGATCAACGCAAGTCAGTGATCCAGGAGTCAGGATGTGTAATGCTTTGAAACTAAAGAAAGCTGTGATGGGACTTACAAAAATAAAGAGAGATTAGACACCAAATTCCAACTGACAGTCAGTGGGAAATAGACATCTGCCTCACTGAGGCATTTCTGCACATCTTCCCCTGGAGCTGCTAGCTACGTTTTAGTCAGCTAAATATATACCACACAAGAGGTGTTTATTGGCTTTCACTAGAAATTACGGCGCCAAATCGCTTAGGAACATTTGAACACCTACCTCCCTCCAGTGTTTTCTGAGATCAATGAACACTATGGTCAAGACTAATCTGGGCAACGCTCACAGCCTGCATCCAACCAAGCCCTTAGCTCAAAAAACATTAAGATACCCCAGTGGATGCCCCAGAGCAAGACATCTTGCCCTAAAAGGCATGAATAAGCCTACCAATGCACCCCAGAGCCCACCCAGCGCAGCCAGACTTCATTCGGCAAAATCAGAACTTCTTGCAGAAGCTGATACCCACCGGATTCTCCTTCCTTTACTGGCTTTTCTGTCCACTTTCTTCTTTATTTTGCTTCGTAACTTCTGGATGGCCAGCCATTGCCTGAGGAATGCAAAACGACAGTTACACAACTTTTAGAGCCACTAGGAAAACGAGCATTAGGTACGCTGGGCTCTGAGGCCCTTCCCAGCCCTTCTACCTATTACAGTTACGCAAGTGAAGGAGATCAGAACCTCAGGAAAACAAGTATGAAACTTCAAGTGCCCGTGGTACTGCTTCACTCCACGGACGTGGCATTTAAACAATAAGCGTTCCCCCTGACTCCAGCCACAATGGGACACGCAGACCAGACCTGCTGATCCCGATGAGACAGTCGCTGTTCAGTGAGAACATTCTACCTGCAGGGAAACCCGTGGAGGCCACAAGCTTGGCTCCATTTTTCATTCTTTCTTCATTACCGAATATTTTTAAGAATCTTTAGAATTAAAAAAAAAACCTTCACAAAATATAAATGCTAAAATCTGTAAAAAATGTCTTTACAGGTACTGCTTTTTTGTTTCAGCCTCGATCACTAGAATGACTTCTGTTTTGCATATAGAAAGCCCGTAACAGAATAGATGGTCTGCCCCATCCTAAACTGATTCTTTAAGTGAGACAGGTTATGCTAACTTCATGAACAGAATTATCATGATGCAGTAGCTGCTCTGAATTTATTTCCTCCCTCAGTTTTGCAAAGTATATTGAAAATTATAAGCAAGTATTTCTCCCCACCATCTCCGACTTAAACCTGGCAAATCTAGCAAGAAGCCCTATATAATGCTCCAACTATTACTACACAAAACTACAAAAGAAAGAAAAGCAATAAACACTTTCAGAAAGTGCTGTCTGATCCCCAACTGTATTTAGAAGGAAGAGGTCAACTCCTCAGACAGAACTTCATCAAGTCAAAGAAGTTTTCAGCAGGGGAAAACTTCTACTAGTTATAAATATTTTTTTACGAAAACGAGCGTCATCTTACCTGATTTATACAATGAAAACTTGACATCAGGGAAAAAAATCTAGCAAAATCCAATTACTGCAATCTTAATATAATCTTAATTACTGTAATCTATTTTATTGTAAAGTCAGATAAATGTACAATGTAATCACCACTTAAATGTAATTTTGTCTATATCATGTTAAATTATAGTGAATAGCTTTCCATAGTATTCCAGACATACACAAAATAAATTTGACACATTGCACTAAAATTTGGGTAATATTTTACAAGGATAAAAGTTATTTCACAATCACAAAATTTCCTAATGCATTTTCTCCCCCTCCCCATATGCATACCCCCATAGCACTTTTTCAGCGGAGAGCCCTACTCCAGCATTTTCAGCCTTCCTCTGCTTTTACACTTTTCTAAATTATAGCCCATGGCTATTTAAATGTACACTGTTCATTAAGTGGTATTTGGAAGATGCTTTATTTTCTAACTATATAATTAAACAGAGAAATAAGAGCTTCCCTGCATGGAATTATATTTTACTTCTGCATGCAGAAAACATTCCCTGATATCGTTTTAATTGTATAGCATCTTTTCTTGCAGCAGGGAGAGAGCATAGACAGAATTGCTTTAACTGATCTCACGACAGAAGGTTTGCTCCTCTAAAACAATGACAAATCAGAGCTCATAATGAGAAAAGGCCAAATTTCAGCAGCGGGCAGTCACTTTGTGTAGTTCCCCCTCGTGGGGGGTCACTTAAGACACCCCTCTATGGATTCCCTTTGCGCTGCCTGAACCACTGAGAGACAGAGATATCTGAAGTCCGGAACAAGCCTTTTACAACTAGAAAGTATCTTCAGGGGATCGCAGACAAACCAGGGCACAGCTCAAAAGCTGGCAAACTCGGAGTCAGACAGTGTGATCCATAACTAAGGAATATGTTACAGAGGATGACTCTCCTGACTAATGTCATACTGTTTTAATAACTTGTTATGCAATTTCTTACACCCAGATGCTTTCTCCAGAGTCATTAAAAATTTTGCCCTCTACAATGAACTGGACTGGAAGCCCACAAGTAGTTTTGCACTTCTGGACTGGAATGCAGTGCTGGGGGGAAGCTCATGATGTTACAGACAACTTCCTACTTACCTGCCCATTGCCACCTGGTCATTGGGGTCCAACGAAGTGGTTTTGCGTTCTATGAGTTCTCGAAGGAGCTAGAAGAAAGACAACAATCCCATTTAAAAGCACCGTAAAGACATGTTAATGCAAACAGGCTCACAGGTTCCCAAGGGAACCTGTATGCCTCATTTTTTTGAAACTCCCTAGAAAACCCCAAGCCAAGAACCAAGGCTTTTTAACATTTCCTCTGTACGAAAGAGTTTTCCAAGGGAAAAAGCTGGTGTCTCTGAAAACGTTCAAGCAAAGAAGCAGAACCCTGTGCTAAAAGTGTAAGTAACTGTAGATCATCCCCCTCTTCCAAAAAGGTCCCCATAGAATATGTGACTGGGGCATAACACTGAAGGCCACTACAAAGAGCTGTATGTAAGTTAATTTCAGATGAATCTAGGAGCAACATAACCTTCCCTTCAAAACATCATGGTTTATTTAGGTGACATGTAGCATCATGTCACTTATCTGAAGAGAATCTAAAGGTTATGCAGAGCCAGAGGGGCACAGCTTGGCAGCACCACGGGCCAAGCACAAGGAGCCCCACATGGGCAAAGCAAACTGGTGATCTTCAGTCTAAGCAATGGCAAGGACTGGAATCCCTGCGGGCACTGCAAAGCCCCCTCTGGGATTGTCAGATGGGCCAACCGTTCGGTAACTGCTCGTCCCAGGAGCCCAGAGCAAAGTGTACAATCCCACAGAGGGCAAATAGGTGACAAGCTTGGGGGGATGTGAGCAGTTGAGCCTGACACGAGACGGTCATTTCTCACCCAGAGGGGCAAAAACTCAGCTTGTATTTCAGAGGCTGGTACTGTTCCTTGGGCTTTTGGAAGGATAAAAAAGGCCTGAATCTTCACAGGCTGTTGTGTACACAACTCCCATGGGCATGAGATGTAACGCAGGCAGATCTGCAGGAAGACCTCTGCCCCACAGGTCTTGCCCCACACTTTGAGTGGGGAGGGCAGGGGGGAACTGAAACACTTCACCAAGCAGAAATCAAGTATTGCTGGGCAGTAACGCTCGCTCTGAGGAACAGCTCAGAAAAAGAATTTTTATAGCTAGAGC